TGTGTATTATAATTCAGAACAGAATAAGTTGGTTAGACTAAATTTTATTAAAGCTATGTATCAATTCAAAATCATGTACATGAATTATTTAATAATTTAAAGTAAGAAAATTAAATTTCCGGCAATTTTATGGGCCCTAGTCATATAGCATGACATACTATGAATGATACTCTGTTACAATAGGCCCAAAGAAATTCAGAGCTTTGGATGAGAACATGAGATAGTACACTAAGAGGACAGAATGAGCACAGGATTTGGCTTCAGATTCTTAGTACCTAGTTTCCATGCTTGTAAGGTAGAAATGTTCTTTTCAAAAATCATTTAAAAATAAAGTCATAAATAAAGGAAATCACAAAAGCCATCCTTATCTTTGAAAAAGCAGTATAACCTAGAGGTTCAGAAGATAGCCAGGTATATTCTGCAATGAACTGCATAAGTAGTCTAAGACCCATGCGAATAATAAGGAAAACTTATTCTGGTATCTAGGTTGTAGTGTGCTTTTCAATTTGTTTAATTTTATTTTGATAGACAGTAGGAACCCCTGGATAAATTTATGGAGTGCAATTCTGTGTTGAACTTGTTTAAGGAAGAAATCTTGCAAGTAAGATATGTAAAACCTGGAAGATACCAGAGAGAGAAGGACCAGTTTTTGGAAATATTTTGACTTGAATATCTGAATATATAATACAGTGCGTCAAAGCTACAAAAGTAGAATAAAATATGGTTATTCAAATATAAAAAATGGGAATCATCATGTCTCAATGAAAGACAGAATAATATTATGAGGATTAAATAAAATAATAAATAGTAAGATATTTACTAAGTGAATAGTGTTCAAAAATTCTCAATACTTGTCAGACTGCATTTCATTGTTATTTCTAAACCATTTTTTAATGTTTAATGAAAACAGTTTTAACTGAATTTAATATATCAAAAGATTAGAAGATATTTTATCTATAACTGATTATTAAAAAAAATCCTCCAAACTGATGTGTTGCAAACGTAGGAAGCCATTCTTATAACATACTTATTCATTCACTCATTTGATAGATGTTTAGCAAGCGCCAATTTTGTGCTAGGTACTAAGCTATGCAATATGTGAATATGAAGATGAATTGCATACATTACTACCCTATTATGAAGTAATTTACAACCAGTTTAAGAGGAAATATTTAGTCTTGAATATCTGAATATGTAAAACAGTACATATAAGCGACAAAAGTGAAATAAGATACTGCTATTCAAATATGAAAAAGGGGAGTCACCATATCTAGATGGAGTAAAGATAGTAAATGTTGTTAGGTTGGACTTCCACTGAGTCATCACAAGAGTGAAGAAGTGTACAGAAGGAAAATCAAGTGAAGGGCAATGCATATTGGAGGACTGATAATTAGTCCATAATTAACATACGTGTGGACTTGCCAAGAGCTTGGGTACATAGAAAGACCAGCTGTAAAATACCTAGATTTCCATCTGCTGTGCTAAAGAGGTGGTAGTGTTTTTCTTATTTGTTTTATCTTGATAGGCAGTAGGGACCACTGCATAAATTTATAAAGTACAATGCCATGTTAACTTGTTTAAGGAAGAAATCTTGCAAGTAGGATACATAATACCTGGAATAGTTAGAGACAGGAAAACTAGTTATGGTGCTATCTTGGCAGTTTCGGTGTAGGTATAAAGTACAGAAGGGCAGATTGGAATAAGTGAATGGCTAGGGATTCAAAAGGCACTGTAAAAGAAAAATCAGTGAGATATTGGGACATGCTGGATAAGGCAGTTACATAGGGGAGAGAGAGGTCCTGCAAAGATATGGAATCAGTTATTTTTGAAGAGAAAGCTGTAGAAGATTGGTGCAGGCAAAACTTAGTTACAAGAGGAAAGTGGCTAGAGGAGGCAGCTAAGGGCATAGTATCTGTATCTGCGTCGTATAGTGGAAATAATCAAAGATAAAGGACAATAGCTTAATGCCAAGTATTACAGCTGGGATAATAATGATAAAGCATGCAGAACTAAAAACACATTTTAGAGCCCCAATTCGGGTTCTGTTTTTACTGCGTAACTAAATTGTGGTTACTTAACCTTTCCAGGCCTCAGTTCCCTCATCAGTGAGTCGGTCATAATCATAGTATCTTCTTCATGAGCTGAACAGTTGGCATTCACTGTAAATGCTGTCCACACTTTTGTAACTATTATAATACAATTGAGAGAAGATGTATTGGAGCATAGGGGAGGCATGGCACATAGTACTACTTAGAAATTAACAACTCTTCATTCATTTATCTGCAAAATTATATGGAGTGTCTACCATGTACCAGATGCTCTTCCGGGTCGTGAGGATACAAAGTGATCAAAACAAGCAAAATACCTGCCCTTTTAGAGATTATATTAAAACATGGGAAGCAAATAATAATGGGCATAAAATGCAAGTTGGATAGTGATATTCATGAATAAAATAATGAAGTAGAACAAGGGGAGACAGACCAGAGATGCTTTGTTAGTTAGTGGTCAGGGAAGACCTGCTTATGAAGATGGCAGTTGAAAAGACATTTAAATGACTTAAAGGAGAGGCTGTAAATATATGTAAAAAGGGATTCCAGGCAAAGAGAACAGAAATGCAGAGTCCCTGCAGTAGAAGTTTCTGTTCAAGGAACAGGGGAGGGAGGGTACTCGGCTGTAATGAGTCATAGCAAAAAGTATCAAGGCCTGAGGTGAGGGGTAAGCACAGAGGTAGGTCCCATGGGGCTTTCTATAACACAGCAACATCGTGGTTCTAAATGGAAGCAGAAGTCACGGAAAAGGAACATGTTGGATTACATAGATTGGAAGGCTGTAGTGTAGCTAACTGATTGTAGGTGCTAGAGCTAAAGAAGCGACTACTTCTCAATTACGACAGTCTAGTACTCTGTAAGAGATGGTGATGCCTTGGCTAAAGACTAAGCAGTAAAGATGGGAAGGAGTGGTCTAATGTGGTACAAATTTTGAAACCAGGATGTATAGCGGTTTGGGATACTATTTGGGAGGATTTGGGAGGAGAGGAAGTCATAATAAGAAAGCATGAAATGAGAACTTCGATAGAAGTCAGAATGGTACCATTTCTTGAAATGAGGAGAAAGGTACACTGATTAGACTTGCAGATGAGGACAGGGGATTATGCAAAAGCATAATGTCTATTTTGAACATAGCAGGCACACTGAACAGCCATTTGGAGACATGGAGTTGACTGAGGATTAAGAGTTGCTATGGACCCTGGGGAAAGATACGGATAGAGGTACAATTTGGGATGCATCAAATTTAGATGGCATTGAGCCATTGCTCCTATAGGACACTATCTAAGATGCTAGTGTAGGCAGAAAAAGGGGAACTCTGTTACTCTTAAGAGATCAGTAAAAACAATGGGAATAAGAAAAGGGTAACTGAGGAGAAGTAGCCCAGGGGAAGTAAGAAAATTGGAGGCTTTTAGAATATTACAAGTCAAGGTAAGAAAGTTCTAAGGAAAAATTGGAATCTATGCCAGATTTTGCTGAGGCACAGATTTGACCATTTGATGTTTGGAGATACTGATAACATTGACAATCATGGTGACTGTGAAAATCAAAACATAAAGATTACAAAGAAGGAAAAGTAAATACAGACAATTTAAAATTTTCAGTAAAAAAGAGGAAAGGAGCTTGAGGTGGGAGGAAATGGAATATCAAGAGAGTGCTTTAAAACTATGGAGTTAAGGCAGAATAGTAATTATTATGGAGGCAGTACTAGTGCTTCATGCAAGGAAAGGGATAATAATAATAGTGCTTGGGTGAATGAGAAGATTCTCAGACAGGAGCAGAGACAGGTCAGCTAGATCTGAGATAAACACGGGAACACTATTTTCTGAACGTTTCTCTTTCCTTGATGATAAGGAAGAAAATCAGTCATTAAGAATGGTGGATATCAAGATGTATTCAAGTCTGGAAAGTCAGAATAAACAGAAGACATTCATCTTATAAAACAATGAACTACTAAAGAAATGCAGTGCCATATTCCAAACATATGAGATCTACCATTGGACTTGTGGTCATACAAATCCAGTGGAAAGACTGGGGGTTCTTCTCCAGACACATTTGGCTAGGAAGGCACATGGAAGGAATTGGTGGAGTTGCTAATTTAAACAGAGTTGAATTTTTTTTAAGATGGGGAAAGAAGATCAAGGGAGATGAAACAGAAGATAATATATGACTACAGATTCTAAACTGAATCTGAAGGGAAATGAGGACATGAAAGAGATGAAACACAGGGAGAAGGTGGCCCAGTTTGGGAATTGGAAGCTCTAAAGGAATTGAAGAACTGTGGCAAGGAGGCAATGAAATAAGTGAGCAGAAAGAAGGATGACAGAATTTGAGGCTTTGTATTGGTTTGGTATGACATGGAACTGATTAACTGTGGTGGGGAGAAGCCAGTATCATTGAGGGAAACAAAAGAAACTAACAGTCCAGAGTATCAGAGAGGTTACCTGTATGAGGAGTGTAATCACTAAGACTGATCATAGAGGTAATTGGAAAGGAAGTGATCCCTAAACACTAATATCTTCAGTGAACGTGGAGGATGACAGAAAACTCCAACAAAGAGAGGGTAGTGAGTAAAAGTCTGACAACACTTGCTGCAAGGGAGTTAGATTGGAATACAACTTGAACCTAACAAAGAAGTTAAAAAACAAAGCTACAAATGTGGTCAATGGAACGGAATCAGTAATACTGAGAAATTTCAGCTCCTTTTACATAGATTCACATTTCTTCAATATATAGCATTCTATTTACTAACAGACGTTCAGGTGTATGCAAAAATACATGAACAGAATAAACATTATGAATATCTAAGTAGAAATGTATAGCTTTGTTTATTATTTTCTATTTGCCTAGAAAGCTCAGAGGAAATCCTAATGATTACTGATAATTTGATATCTTATAGAAATATGCTAATGAAAAGCATTTCATTACTTATTTGTGTCTTCAGGCTTCACTCACCAGGATTGCTGGACTGGGCCTCCATGGGAATCATGAGCTTAGCCCGAGTAGCTCTGCGCGCTGCCAGTGTCCTCTCCAGTGTAGACATGGAGCTGCCTGCTTCCTCGGTGTCTTGACCTAAAAAGAAATTAAACAATAAAAAAGAATTGTTTTGAGAAATATTCATTCTTTAAAGATGCAACACTTCCTTTTTAGCCAGGTATTCCAATGCCTTGCTAATATTAAAATCATAGATGTTTTAAATGACAGTACAGTATTTACTGTCTTTCAAACAATACACTTTCACAGTGGAACCATTAAGGAAATTAGCCATCAGCTCGTTACCCAGAAATAACTATAATTTATATTTTGATGCATATCATATTTTCATATGTATGCACATGTAAAGCAGGGAGGAATATGCTAATATTTTTCAAAAGTGACATTAGTATATACTATTTTATAAATTGCTCATAAAAATTACATGAGCATCTTTATCTGTCAATAAATATTAGTAATATTTTTAAAAGCTACTTAATATTACATTGTATTATTTACTGAAACCTAATTTTTAAGTATTATTTGAAGAAATCTTGCTTATATACATTGACTAAAATATGACAAATGAATTACAATTGAAAAATAAAAATATTCATGTTTATATAAATTTAACATGATTTCATAAAATGCCATACAAAGAGTCACTAAAAAAACAGAGAAAAAATGATATATACAGATGGAAAAGTTACTGATAGTACATGCTGAAGAAATAATTGAATTTCTGAATAGTGTGTATTTTATGTGCTCATTTGTGTAATACACATGTAAAATCATAATGTCCCTATGCATGTACATGTGTTTATATATACATGTACATGTACATGATATACATATATGCTGAATATCTGTTTAGAAAATTCACACATTTTACACTATAGGTACAACTTTTCACCTTTTTGAACATTTCTGTATCATATGCATACATTCTTTTTAAATTAAAATCATAATTAAAATGTAGAATACTGCTGATCAAACCTTTCATGGAGGTGAGATAATGGTGGCTACCTAAATCAGAATCTGTATACATCCTACAAAAACCACACAAATGCGTCTAGAAATAATGTTCTTATGTCTAAGTAAAAAGGAAGAAACAGTACTTTCTAGCAAACTAATTTCAAGCTTGTGTCACAAAGCCTTTGTGGAAGGCTGGGTATCCATCTATAAGAAACTATACAGGAGAGGAAAGAAGAATAAGGAGCTCAGGATTGATGGAAAGCAGCCCAGAACAAAAAGTACTCTCCAGTATAACAGTACTGAAAAAGTTTCCTAGGGAACCAAAGCACCTAAAATGTATAGAGTTTTCAATAGTGAAAAGTACTTGCCCTAGTATAAATTACTGTACAATTATGGCAGTGCTCTAACATAGTAGAAGGCCAAAGCAGTAACGCTTACCAGTTCCTCCTTCTTCTCCAGCCCTAAGTGCAACTCCCCTTCTTGTTTGCAAGCACAGAGAATTCCAACTGGTTCCTTACACATCCTCAATGTCTGCCCCATGTTCCCCTTCAATCAGAGGTCATATAAGCCTCTGCCTCTCTGTATCCGGTCAAAGGAGACAGCATAAGCACCATGGGTTGTGTGCTCCTTTCCACGTGCTCAACTCAATAAATCTGTTCATTTTGTACTTTTTGCTTCTCTATTATGCCAGAATATAACAAATAGCATCATCAGAAAAAGAAGGAAAGACAATTCTTTTTATTTAAAATTTAGTATTTAAATAAGTTAATACTGTAATAAAAAGGAATTTTGAAAAACTAGGACTGAAAGATTAAACAACAGAAAGAGGAAAAACTAAAGTATCTTCTCTCCTATTCAATTTTTAAAATTAATATTTGACAATGGAATTCATAATTAGAACATCATACGATGAAAATTTTTGGTACCAAAACAAAAACAAAAACAAAAAAACCTTAGGTATCAAAAAAAAATTTTTTTTCCTCAAAAAATTTCCAAATCCAACTATGGTAATGGTAACATAGTTTTCTAATAAGACACTTGATGTTGTTGAATATTTTCAATTTTGAAAATAACTTTTTTCTTAGAATGGAGTATATTTGGTATTATAAGAGTTCATGGAAATCCTGAACAAAATTGTTTTTCTATTACTAATTTTAGAGTGTAAATCTTTTTGGAAGTATGCTAGTCAAATTCATACCTTCTTCACTATAAATGAAGAAGAGACTGGCGTAAAGAGTGATTCTCTGTCTCGGACACCACTAGTCTGCCTTGGTGGAGTACAGTTCCTGTTCCCTCATCCCACCCTTTTATTATGCACCCTTTTATTATGCCAATAAAAGGGGTTTCACAGCTTTCTAAATCCCTTTCCACTTTCTCCTTCCCCCTCCGGGACTGGACTGCACTCCCACTCTGTGGAATCTGTTCCCACCTCTCTCATTTAGGTTAGATTCCTTCCCTGAGTGAGGAAAGTTTGCATGAGATGGCTGGAAGTTTAAATCTGCTGTTTTTTAATAACTGCCTTTGTTTGAACTTGCCCCCCCCCCAACATAATAAAAACCTATCTTCAGTGCTCAGAAGTTACTAAGCATGAGCTTCTGTGAGCCAAGCTGGCCAAATAAAAATCTTTACCTCTCAAGAGTGTACTCTTGGTTCCTTAGCTGTCTGGAAAAAGTCTAGTATCGTGTTTTCCACAACACAGCAAATATTTTAGATAATTCACTCCTGAGAAGGTTTAGTTTTGCTCACAGTTTGGGAGTGTTGATTCTTGATTGGTTGACTCTGTTGCTTTTGGCCTAGGGCAGAAGCACGTGATAGAGCACAATTGCTCACCTGATGCTGGAGAAGTATAAGAAAGTGAGGCAGGGGCCAGGTCCACACCCTCCTTTGAGGCCAAGCTGCCTGTGACCCAAAGGCCTTGCACTGGCCATGCTTTCAGTAGGCACTACTTCTTAGTGGACACCGTGGGTTGGGACCAAGTCTTTTTAACACATGAACCTTCGGTAACACTTTTACAAGCTGTAGTAGGTAGTAACACTTTCAGGTTTATCCTCTGCTTTTTAAAGCAAAACAAAACAAAACAAAACAAAACAAACAAACCAAGAGCCAACATACTAATGTTTGAGGCCACTGAGTTAGAAATATTATAGTCAGCCAGATAGGGCAGGGCCCTCAAATGAACGAGTGCAGAAGGCCAGATACCTTGTAGCTATGGCAAAAACAGACAACTCCACTGTGGGCCAGATCTCAAGACAAAAGATAAATGAAGTGTGTCCACATAGTTCCTAAGGGTAAGCAGCAGGGATTCATACTCTAACTATGACTCTATCACCCTGAGGAAGCCAGAAGTCACCATCCCAATCCCCCGCAGGAAGAGTCACTGCTCTGTATTCATGCCTTCTTGCGATATGGCTTGCTTCTCCATTTCTCCCTGATTTAATCAATTTTATCTGTGCCATTAATCTTACTGGTTGGTCATAGTTCTAACCCACCTCATGTCTAGCTTTTAGTCCCATGTTTTCCCCACTTTAGATCTGCTCTATTTGTGGTCCCTAGAAAAGACAGTCTTTGGCAATCCATTCAGGACTCCGGTCTTTCTCTCAGACAGAAACTTTCTTTCTTTTCTTATTTTTTTTAGGTGAGGGAGTACTGGGGATAAGATTTATTACTTTTGCATTTTCCAGCAGGCCTTTGTGCTGCTAAGCTAAACTTCCAACTCAGAAGCTCTGTTTCTCTCAATGAATATATTTTACTATTAGCCTTCGTTGTTTGTAAAATTCACTCTTTGATTTTAGAGAACACAAACTCATACCAGACATCTAGTAGGTTGAATGTTTCTTTCTCTTATATCACTAAGCTACATGCTCAGCCTTTGAAAAAAATATTTTTTTCTGTTACTGGGGATTGATTTTAAGGTCTTTAAGTTGTATTCTAATCCCTGCTTTTAAAATTCTTTATTTTGAGAAAAAGTTTTGCTACATCACTAAATTACTTATATTGGTTTCAAATTTCCAATTATCTTAGCAGAGTGAACAGTTTACAAGTATGCGCCACTGTGCTCTGATATTATTAGTCATTGTTTCAAATGGATTTGGGGCTGAGGATTTAGGTAGTGCGGTGAGCACCTGCCTGGCAAGTGCAAGCTCGTGAGGTACAAAAAGAAAAAAAAAAAAAAAAGAATCAAATGGATTTGGGAAATTGAAACAAAATATATAGCAATTATGTAAAAGAAATTAAAAAAAAAAAAAAAACACGAGGTTAAGTGTCCAATAAAATTGGCCATTACAGGTTATGTAGTCTTTTCAAAGATGTTATTTGCATCATTGAACAGAACTGACTGCAATCTCACTGTATTAATCTCCACTTCGTATGCTTTAATTTTGTAATCTGGACAGCTGTTTGTAAGTTGACAATGTGTGATATTAACTGGTGAACTCTTACTGTATGTTTTCTCTCTTGAAATTCTGTGTTGCTTCTAGCCTTTTACTGTCTTGCTTCATTTAGTTTTGTTTTTCTCTTTAAATAAAAAAAGATGTTATTTGCTAAACAGAACATCTTTTATTTTCACACAAAAAGTCAAAGACTACCAAGTACAAAAATGTTAACATTGACATGTTCATGCTTCAGAAACAGAAGTAAGGGACCATCCTGGTGTTTTGCTGCAGTAGACTTATGCTAGGAATTCATTTAAAGAAAGGTAATTTTATCTCTTAAGACATGGAGGTGAGCCCTTTCCTTTATTGCATTTAACATGAGAGAAGAATTTTGAAATCCACCAGATGTAGAAGCATATCTCATAAAACGTTAACTTTTGTCACCTCACTTCCTGGTTATTTCAGTAGGGTACTCTGCAATGGTGATTAGGCATTAAGATAGATTTTGTTTAAGGAGCTTGCATATAGGTGTAGGAAGAAAGGCTGAAATGGGTGAAAGAAAAAGTTACTTCATTAAAAATTTAAGTAAGCTATTATTCAACTTTTCCTTGAAATATTTGGATAAAACTTCATATACTATAGCTTCAAATATTTCCATATCAAGAAGCCCAGAATAAAGCCTTTCTAATTAAATAAGTGAAAACTTTATAAGGCTTCAAGGCCACATAATGGGGAATCATGATTACCACATATTTTTATATATTTGAATCATTACTTACATTAGGGAAACTATTCGGAATTCACACATGCGAGATTGATTTATTTCACTTATGAGTATGGTCTCAAGCTGCGCCTATTTATTGATAAATATCTCAATGTGATCCTTCTTTATAGCTGAATGATACTCCATTGTATAGAAATACCACAACTTTTTTATCCATGCCTCAGTTGATGGGCACTTGGGTTGTTTCCAAGATCTGGCGATTACAAATTGTGCTGCTATAAACATAGGTGCACATATATCACTGTGGTATGATGCTTTCAGTTCTTCTGGGAATATGCCTAGAAGTGGAATAGCTGGAATAAATGGGATTTCCAATCCCAACTTTTTGAGAAATCTCCAGACAGATTTCCACAAAGGCTGTACCAGTCTACACTCCCACCAGCAGTGCAGGAGAGTTTCTTTTTCCCCACAGCCTCTCCAGCATTTGTTGTTGGTTTTCTTGATCCTGGCCATTCTTTCAGGAGTGAGATGGTATCTCAGTGTGGTTTTAATTTGCATTTCTCTAATGACCAATGATGATGAGCATTTTTTCATGTATTTATTTGCCATTTGCATTTCTTCATCTGAGAATTGCGTATTCATCTCAGATGCCCATTTTTGGATTGGATCTTTGAATTTTGGAGGTCTGAGTTTTTTTAATTCTTTATATGTTTTAGACAAGAGTCCCTTGTCTGAGAGAGAGTTCACTAAAATCTTTTCCCAGTTTGTGGGTTTTCTTTTCACTATGCTGGAGATTTCTTTTGACATGCAGAAACTTTTTAATAAGAAGTGGTCCCAGTTATTGATTCTGGGAAGTATTTCCTGTGCAGTTTGAGTCCTGTTCATGAATTCTCTACCTACTCCTATGTCTCCAAGGTTTCTACCCAATTTGTCTTCCAATAGATTTAGTGTTTCTGTTTTAATATTCAGATCTTTGACCCATTTAGATTTTAATTTAGTACATGGTGATAGACATGGGTCTAACTTTAGTTTTCGGCAAATGGAGAGCCAGTTTTTCCAGCACCATTTATTGGAAGTTTTATCTAAATATTTCAAGGAAAAAGACAGACACTATGGTAACTACTATTAAGTCGGGTTATTTGGTGGTGAAGCACTAGGTTGCTGAAGCAGTCATGCTTTGACCTCTATTGTTATATTGTTATGTCCTGTTTTATCTCAATCTCTCCCTTATTCTTTAAAAAAATATTTAGTTATTTCTTATGTTTGTTTTAATTAAGGGGAAAAAGTAAAAAAAAATTAGGATATATAATAGTAACTCTTTTTGATTTCCTATTAACTTGTTTTGAAGTCCTGTAATACTCCCACGATCTTGTTTTGACTGATTAGACTCTGTTCCATTCTGTATGATAGAATCAAGTTTGAGGGTATAGGCAACTACTTTGAAGGCAATAAGATTCACTAAGATGCCCGTTCTGGTTTGACTATTGTCTCCTTTGGAAGTCTTGTAATGTTTACAATGCCTAAGTTTTATTGGTCTTGTTCTCTACTGTTTTGTCCAACTTTATAATATCTAATGAGATAGACAATTCTTTTTAAGGAAACAAGAGACAACGTTGATAACCATTGTTGATAACCTTGTACTCTGTCCTACATCATGTGCTATGTCTATCCTTGGTTTTGACTGACAGCTTTGTTTTGCCATATTTGACTTTATTCTCTCCCCCCCCCCAAAAAAAAGTAATAAGAACTAAGGAGTAATAAAATCCAAAATGTGTAAATTTTGTTGTAAAAAAGAGAGGGGAAAAAAAGAGCTCTAACGGATATAACAGCAAGTGTGTTTAGGGGTGTTAAATAGCTGACTATATTAATGTTTTTGGATCATTGAACACAGCTGTTTGCAGTCTCTCTGTTTGAATGTCCACTTTGTATTCTTTGATACTGTGATTTGAGCAACTATTTCCAAGATGATAATATGTAATCTATTAACAGGTGATTTCTTACTGTTATGTTTTTTTTTTTTTGTAGTTCTGTATTACGTGTACCCTTATACAGCTTTGTTTTGTTTTGTGTTTTTCTCTTTTTCCTCTTAAATAAAATTAAAAAAAGAAAACTTTTCCCCCCCTTACTAAAATGCAGATATCATAAAACAATTTTGGGTTATCCAGAGAACTAATTTCATGGGCATAAAACCGTATAAGTCCATCTACAGTAAATATTACATTAATTAGTTAGAATTAGATCACCAAATCACACATTGGGTAAAAAGGATGCTCAATCTTGACTGTCCACTACAAACTTAAAATCTTGAACATGTTACTTAAACTATCTTAATTTTAGTTACTTTATTGCCTTTATGAGGAGGATGACAACACTAATATCAAAGCATATTGTGAAAATTAAGTAATATAATGCATGAAAATACTTCTTATAGAACTTAACATGAAGCAAACTTTTCTTTCATAATTATTACCTACTCAAAACCTATCATTAACTACAGCACTTCTTACTAGTGCTGTTTATAGATGTTGACATTTTTTCTTTAAGAACACACACATACACAATGTAATGCTAGGTATAATTTGCAGGGTTTTGAGAGCAGCTAACTGTAACTACAAAGTATACAACTTGGTCCTCAAATTAAAGCAAATACATACAAACAGCCTCTCATGCTAAAGAAAACATTCATCATTTGGAGTTAAACCTGTTTTAAGACTCGTTTTGTAGGACATCAAAACCAGTATGAATATCTCCACCTATTATCTCAGTATATGAAAGAAAAAGGGAAAATGTACATGAAGTATCATAGGTTTAACTGACAAAACTCTCTGAAGTCAGAGAGGCAACTCTATTCCAATTGATGTCTTCCAGGGAGAGGGTATTTCTGCCTACTGTGTCCAGTTAAGAATAAAACCACAGGACACACCACCTTTAAAAGTAATTCACTTTTCAGATGGAAGGCTGCTTAGGAAACAGGGAGCAGGCTTGCTGGTCTACCCTATCTCTATCTATACAGAAAGGCAATTGAAGAAGGGAAGCAAGAGTGGGCTAGTGGCAGAATACAAAGTCTCTTACCATTGGACCTGGAAAAAATACAGGAGTTTATCATGAGTCAAGCAGCATGTGGAAAGTTGATCAAGCTTGAGTCCTCTTCTTGGAACTCATGTTTCATAAGCTACCAGCAGCCCCAGGAAAGGTGTGCCTACTAACAGGTTGTTAATCTTGATCAGGTGTCTCATAGCATGGAACTGGGCAATGGAGGAATCCCATAGGGTCATGCAGAGAATTCATCCTTGTGCTTCCCAAGAGACTCAGAATTTGGATGCTACTCAGGAGCCACCTCTCAGGTTCAGAAAAGCAGTAAATAATCTCACAGAGTCCTTTATTTTTCTCTGTAACCTCCTCTCCACAACACCCCTTTTCTGTAATAAGCCTAGGACTAGCGAGGTAAAGGAAAAGATAGTGAAGTGTTTCTGAAACATACTGAATTTACTATTCTGCCGTAATTCTGCCTCCCCAAGGGATGGAGGAGTTTCAAAACAAATTGTAACTCCCAGTTCTCAGGTCCAAAAATATAACCAGTCATGAGGCAGGAATATTTTAATTTAATTTTTAGATGGCTGTTCTCAATATGACTAGACTGCCCTGTATGAGTAAAAGTGAAAAGAAAGTTACAAAACCTGCTAGGATGTAAAGGCTAGGAAAGGAATATTCAACAATCCCTGGTTGAAAATTAGTAATTAAAGTTTTCGTTTAAAAAAATAAAATAGTCTGTATGTAACTTAGAACTGACAAGCCCATTACTTCAGTTACACAAATAATTAAAATACTGTAATTTAGTTTAAAAGAACAACTACTCATTCTACAATCAGAACACAAGTAGTCCAAAGGATTTCTGATACTTGAGTGATTACTTCTGATAAGCACTTAGATAATCTGAGTGCCAATAGAAAGTTAAACATCTTATCATCATTTTGTAGAATCCTTGGTGACTCTTGGGTACTGGCTGTTCTGAACCAATTCATTGCACAAGAGGCTTCTTCTTTTAGAACCTTTGTACGTCAAGAGCTTTTAAACTATCAAAAAAAGCGGTCACATAAAGTGATTGTCTGATTATTACAATTGCTGGCCATGGTAATAAAGGCCCAAATAACAGACTACTTTATATTTTCATACTTCAAGTGGCTCTGATCTCAATTTTTTAAAAAATCCCCCCGAAATTTGGCATAAACTTCTATTTATCTATACAGATTGAAAGCTGAAAAAAAAATGTACAGATAGCTGATAGCTTCAGACTTGACTGCTTCAACAAAACTTTTTTTCAAGCAGCTGATTGATTTTGGCTTCTCATTTCAATATTTCTAAACTTTCTTAATTCTAGCAGAACTTTCAGCATTTATCACAATTATAAAAGACAAGCAACAGGATGATGAAGAATAATATGTATACCAGGTTAATCAACCAAATTTATGCCATATTATTTAAATTATTGATTAATATCTTGCAAGTTAATGGGAGGTTATCTCCATAACAGAAGGAATGGAAAAGTGGCTCCTGGGGTTCTTTTCCCTGCTGAGAGTGGGCTGATAATTACCGGAATGAGAGGTGCTTTTGCTGCCCAGTTGGGTTTCAGACTGACTGTGGCTGACTGGCGTGAGGTCTTGGCAACTTTGGATGGGGGAGTCCCTTCCTGCGGGGTCAGTGCCTGATGGCTTCTCAATATTTTTCATCTCCATCTCTTCATGGTGGATCCAAAGGTCAGGGGGCCGGAGGTCCTTCTGGCTGCCTTTCCTTTTGCCCACGCTGTGGGTGGCCCGTTTCCTACAGAACAAAGTTAGAAGGGAAATGTGAGCACCTCTATTCAGTGGTCCTTCTTCCCTTCCTCAGTCAATTCAAGTTGGATACAGAGAAGGAAACAAAAGGACTCCCACAGGAATGCTGCGAAACCCCAAAATTGGCAGCCTAATATTGGCTGCCTTTCCTCCTCTCCCCAGGTGCTGCACCACATTAGAGGAAATGCAGTGCTGAATCCTCAGGGACCGGACTGCCTGCCAGAAAGCTTCTTACTCCAGCCTCACAAGCTGCAGATCCATGTGCAAGGTGACAGTGGGTTAGATGGAGCCATATGCCAATCTTTGGAGTTAGGCATAAGGTACCTGACTGCAACATCTGTTTAGGAGATAAATGAAGGAGCTGCTTTGAAAGAGTAGATCAAAGAAAAAAGGCCAGAATTTGAGCCAACAGCTAAGATTAGGGCTTAGAAAAAGTGTATGCTTCAGCTGTGTAATTTAATGTGCAAGTGGGACACTGACTATCTGAAAACCAAAACCTCATGACATTCTTAGGTGAATGAAAGAAATATTTTGTCTTGGAGTCAATAAGTGCCCAGATTCCACCACAAGGAGACTTGTCCTATTTACTGAAAACTGAAAAGCAAGATACATCTTTTGGAAATGGGCTTCAAATGTCTCTTATTTGCTTGAGGATTAGCAGCCAGAATTTTGCTTTTTCTGGAATGATCTCATTTTGGGGATAGTAAAATCCAACACCTCTCTTCATATTAAGAAATGTGATGGTTATATCACCCATCCTATAACAGGGAGTCATAGAATTATGGGTTGCAAGCCAAAACTACCCACAGTCCTTTTTTGTAAAAAAATTTCACTACAACAAGGGCAACTTCATTTATTTTTGCAATGCAATGGCAACATTGCGTAGTTATGATAGAGAATGTAGAGCTTGAAAATCCTAAACAGATTGTAGTATTTGACCCTTTCAAATAGTTTTTGATCCCTGCCCCACAATCTTATGATTTTTACTCTTCATTTGTAACTTCAGGTTTTTTTTTTTTTCTTTTTCATAAAATAATGCTTCTTCTGAGACAGACTGCAAACGGCTGAACTCTAGCTCTGATAGGAGCTCAGAGGAGCATCTTTCCACATTCTTCACTGTAAGGATGGTAGATTTTTATGGTTGCTAAAGGACTCAAGCTACTCTTTAGCCACCTGATAAAGGGCTTTGCTTTCCCAATTGTTAAGAAAAGATAAGAAACTCTATAAATATTTGGCAATTGATAAATGTTTAGTGTTTCAATTTGTTGAGTTTTCCCAATATTCTTTTCAATGTTTCTTGAAGCATGCCAATGAAACTAGGAAACAAAAAACTCTCCACTTAATGTTTATTTTGTAGTTAATTGGAGAAATGATGTGTGTTTTCTCTCTAATATTTCCCCAACATCTACCTGACTTTTGCTGATACCCTGTCAGCAAATCTGCACTGTCTTTAGATAATGTCCTAAAATAACTCCTAGGTAATTCTTCTGTGTTTTCATGTAACTCACTGCTAAGCATCTGTTCACTGCTTCATTTCCTTATATTTCACCCATCCACTTGAACAGTTCTGCACCTCATATAAAGATCTTTATGTAATTTAAACCTGGTAGCAAGATAGAAGAATTTAATCTTATTCTCAAACTTGGAGGTTTTCCCTTGCTATCGCTCTTTCTACAAGATGGAAATAACAATTCTGGCATTGTATAACTATCTATAGAGAAGTATCAGTTCCCATATGCAGGACAACACAGTTGAACTTCTGAGGATAACTCAATATTTACATAGGTTACAATAAAAAAGGCAGTCAATGAAATTTTAAAGCCAATAATTAATGATGAATTCTACTTTTCCTATGTTTACATACTTCATTCATTCATTAGTTCATCCATTCACTCATTTGCTTATTCATTAGTTTCTCCATGACTCCAGGACCCAGCATCCCCAAGTGTCATATATTTTAAACAAAGTTTCAAACCTGGGCTGAGGTAGCTGTATGTGTTTGTTAGTCATGAACTCATCTGGAAGAAATGATTATTTCTGAGAGAATGCCTAAGCATTTTTCTGATGAATTTTAATTAGATCAAGGCTTCAGCTAAAAAGTTACTTGCCTATCCAGCTGTCAGCAAAGAGTCTAAAGCTCTCTAAGCAGACTTCATTGTCCTTTTGTATATATTCTATCAATGAAAATACAAACACTTTTTTCCCTACAATCTGTTTCATGAGAGAAATCTTTGCCCTTGGAGGGACTCCCTTTCCAGGCCTCTGTAACAGGTGCATAATAAAACAAACAAGTGCTCACAACTAAATTGCCTGAAATTTGTCTTAAAGCCTTACAGAAACAGCTGTCACCCTGACCTTCTTCTCACTGTGGGTTCTCTCACATAATGACTGCTCCTCACTGCAGTGTTCAGTTCCTTTGTCTCACCATTAGGATCCTCAAAATATGTATGAAGATGCTCCTAGTTTAATAGCTCCCAAAGTATGATCTTTCCATAGGATGCATCAGTAATATCTGAGAACTTAGCAAAAACACACACACATCCAGGTTCCATCTCAGAACCATTAAATGAGAAACACGGAGATGCAGGATGGGGAGCAATTTGTTTTAACTGCCCTTCAAGGGACTCTGAAGTTTGAGAAGCATTGTCTAGTGAATTACTTGGTTTTGTTTTATTCTCAGCTTGTATTTCTTTATATGAAGGCTATTCCACATATTTAACTCCTCCTTATAGTATCAAGAATGTCCCAGAGGTTCCAGTAATTTCTGTGTTTCCAAAAATGGTTTTAATGTAGGAGTGTCAGTTCCTATCCAATACATTCTTGAAGAAAGGTAAAGAATCCTCCAAAGTTTTTCTCTTCATTCTATGGTAAAGATTTCACAGTATGATTGAATAGTTTTTCTGTATTTTTATTGTTACTATTGATATATTTAACTTCTTCTCAGAAAACGTTTGCAATGCCAATTATTTAAAAATGACCTATTAATTAAGATTCCCTTTAAGGCTCTCTTCTTCAGGAAGCTTTCCTAACCACTCTAAGTCAATGTAATCATAGAATCACTTTGGATATTAGTATGGAGAGAACATTTACCAACTCCACACAAGGAATATATCAGTATTGTAAACATACACAAAAAAGAAGAGGATCCAGATATGAATAGAGGGAGGGAAGGGAGGGGGAATGAAAAATGGAATTAAGGTGTAAATGTACCAACTCCCCACAAAGAATGAAACATTATGTACTACAAACTTATACTAATAAAATAAATGATTCAAATCAATTCCCTCATCCATCTATAGATATGCTAAAATGTTAAAAAGTGGAAAATCAATGTAAGTAACCTACAGGAGTTAAAATACTGTAGATGGCATTTGAGAGTTTAAACTTTTGATCTTTAGCAGTGAAATAACAACTTTTGTCAAGATTTGACAAATAAAACTAGCTGTACACATGACAAACCAAATAGAAGAATGGTTAAGAAATTTTTCTCAACTAAACTTTGTGTTTTATTTACATAATCAAATATCATTTAATTTGAAGACTGTAAATTGTCTACCATATAACTGCTTTCTAAATGTAATATCTATGTTTTCTGAATTTCTAAAGTATGTTCTATGTCAAGTATTTTTTTGTCTATCTCTATATTGATTCTAACAACATAACATGTGACCTTTATGCTCACCAGGAAAGCATTATTACTTCATTAAACACTACAGAAAACCCTATCAACTTGTTCTCATAAAACAATTCTTCTGTATAATCCACTCTAAATTCACTGACTGAAAATATGTAAGCGGAATTTTTTTCAAAGTACCTAAAAATTTGTAATAAATAACTACAAATAAATGTTAAAATTTATTTTATAGGATAGTAGTATTTGGTGAGGGAAGAGTAGATTCTGGGTTTTAAGAAAATATTTGGGCCAACTGGGAATGGTGGCACACATCTGTTATCCCAGTACTAGGGAGGCTGGGGCAGCAGTATTGTTGTATGCTTGAGATCAGCCTGGGCTACAAAGTGAGCTCAAGGCCAGCCAAACCTGCATAACAAGACCCTGTCTCAAAAAATAATATATATGCATATGTGTATATGTATATGAAAATATTTGGTCCTAATTCTCATTTTATTTGAAAATTGAAACTCAGGGATTAAATGTCTTCACTTAGGTGGCATAATTAGTTTAAATAAAGAAGTAGTAGAACCAGAACTAGAACTTGGGTTTCATTTTGCTAGTGATTTTGTATGTTGAAATTAAATCTTACTCACTAGCCTTTTAATCAATTAGCCTCAATCATTGTTAGATATATGTAATTTTTTAAAATAATAAACTTTATATGAATATTAACCTGAATAAGGTATTAGTGATACACCATAAAAATGTTTCAATCCTCCTGGATGCAATTCAAGTTCACCAACAAATCACAGAGGAAAAAGATTCACATTTGTCAACAGATTCAGACAAAGAGATACTAAAGAAATGCTGAATGCGTTTCAACTTCTCATTAATTACATTAAAGTCTCCATTTTCAGAGAGCTCTGTAAAGAGCTTTATTTCTATTTCAGATTGGAATTGATTTTGCTTTCATCTACATCATTCAATTTGTTCTAAAGACCTCAACAGAAGCGAGGGTATGCTGGGTGGGGGGAGGTCCTCAATGAAATCAAGAAAAACTCAATTACAACTCAGTGATAGCCTGATGAAACTTTTTCTTTTTCTCGTTATCTCTGTTAATATATGCAAACAAAGAGAGAAAGATGAAGGTCATAGATCTGTCACTGAGGAAAGATATGAAATAAAGTGTGAAATAAAGTGCAAGTTAATATTAAGAAACTTTGTGGACAGTGTTTTAAAAAATGAGCTGAAAATGCACTTTCTTTGGAGCTTCTGTCACACATGGAATCACTTCTTTTTTCCTTCATTACCTAATTTAAAAACACAAGTTATCCACAGAGCTTAGCAACTACTCTTTCTAAGGCTAAAGCCTTCAAGTTTTTGCTAAAGAGCTTATCAAGAGATTTAAAGGTGATTGGAGAGTTCATTAGCATTTCACTAGCATTTCCTCTGTACAGAAACAAAATTTATCCAACAATCTAACTCATCCATTTATGTAACTGTCAGTAGCATTTTTTTGGTCACAATAATGATAATAGGGATAAATAAAAATTCAAAAAATGAACCTCTACAGATATACTAAATGCAGTTAACTTAGAGAGTTTTAGAAAAAGAAGGGGATCAAAGGTCTGTTCATCGCTCTGACCTTTGCATTGAGCTACAGACCCAGCTTTTGATGTTTTGTTTTTTTATTTTTTTTAAATTTTATTTAAACAAAGACTAAACAATGCAGAAAATGGGTAGAAATAATACACACGTTCAGAGAAAAAATAAACAGTCAGAAATCACTAGTTAATGTTTACATACTGTTCTTTCACAAATAGTTGTTCAAGATACAAAAGTGGAGCATATAAAGTGGGAATTCAAACAGCAAGGCTGCAAACAGTTCTATTCAACTATCCAACAAAAACTTAGTAACATGGTTGTCAGTCCTATACACTTATACATACATGCAGTTATCCATATCTTCATTTATGTAGACCCAGCTTTTTTAAACAATTTATCTTGAGACTGGTCTCACTGAGTTGCTAGGTTGCCGGGGCCAGAGCTGACCAAGTATAATTTGCAGTGTACCGATCTCAGATCCACTTCAGAGACCTAGTGATGAATCTTAATGATTCATCATTCTTTCTTTGTACATTTCTTTCCTGGGAATACTAGAGCAAGAGCTTGTTAAATGTCTTACTGCCCTGGTTGGAATATGGTTTATCCCCACCAAACCTGATTTTGAGGCTAGGTTCACAGTATAAATGCTGAAGAGTGATGAGATTTTTATGTGGCCTAAATGGGTTCTTACTCTCATGGGGCTGGGTTCATTATCTTTAGAGTAGATTGTTTTGAAATGAGGCCACCTCTCATCTCATGCTTCCCGTTATGCTATATTATCTCCCTCCTACACATGTCCACTTGAATGTCCGCTTTTTCATCACCCACATAGCAGCAGGTGGCCTCAGGAGGAAGCCCTGTAGATGTAGCTGCCGTGTTCCTTAAATTCCAGAACCATGAGCCAAAAATAAGCTTTATTCTTTATAAATTATCCAGTCTTGGGTATTTTGGGATAGCAACAGAAAACAGACTAAGATGCCCATTCAGTTCTTTTTTTTTTTCCTGGACCCAGCACTCTAGAAGCATTGAGTTATCTTGTTTTCCCAGACTGCTTACTTAAGATGCTAGGCTCCCTGGGCTCATTCTACCAGGCTTCTTGTCTGGGCACAATGGATAAGCACACCAGCTACTGACAGACCCAAAATAGTGCAATCTCAAAAATGCAGCTCTACATAAAATTTGCCCTGCCACAGAAATAATTAAACACAAGGTTTGCCTCTGAACCTTTTCGTCACTTTCTTCAGTACGTACATCTTTCCGTATTCTGTTTCTATTACTTCACTTCAGAGTATTGGGAAATGTGTGAGCTATCAATAAGTTGAGTGATTGTATTAGTAAAAAAGAGGAACTTTGATCAACTAATAATAAAAGACTATTGTTTGCTGAAGAATCTTTGTCTAGCAATTAGCAATTTTGTCTAGCAATTGTTGTATGCAATTGTCAAACTAGCTATCTTTGGACCCACACCTCAGGCTTTTAGAGCCAGTTCCATGCCTGAGGCAAAAATAATAGTCCATACAGCTAGAGAGTATTATTGAAAAATACTGGCATATTTGAAATTTGGCATATTTGAGGTTATTGCCGACTTCAAGAACCATCTAATATAGGACAGACATGCTGGTCCTAGATGTTTCTGGAAAAGGATGAGCCAAGTAAAAATCATATCATTATTCTAAGCTTTATATTTAGACATACCATTTTCTGCATATGCTTATATATGGAGATATGTGACATGAAAATAGTTTTAAACTCCTCAGCAGTTTTAATGTCTGACAACCACAGGAAATAGTAACTCTTTCCAAGCTCCGAGAGCTCTCTTTCTTTACTACTGCTTCCAAACTACACACATTGTAGGACTCTAATGACGCTGAGTTCGGAATTCTGTATTCATTCAAAAAGCATTAAGAGCCTATAGCTCTCCCTGGCAAAGAGATAAATAAGTACTGACAGATGAACACTATCCCTGACCACCTATACATGATTGCAGAGAGGGCCAGTAGCAAGAACACATCTTCTGAATATTACTGAAAGAAACCTGCCTTTGCCTGAAAAGAGAAATCTGGCCCTGAGAAGGAAAAACAAACACACATGGAAGTGGATCTCCAGGGATGCTGTTAAATCTGCAAGTCTACTCATTATTTAGTTACAGGCATGAAACAGGGAAAAAGCTGGCCTTGCCAGGGTCAAGAGATAAGGAACATAGTGAATTACGGGAGAACACAGGAAGATATCAAAAATGCAGCTCAAAAGGATGGAGTCTTCTTTCTTATTTGGGAGGTCACCGTTACTTACTTTCTCTGCTGAGCTGATGAGCGCCGGGTGCAAATAACTGCCATGATCACCACAACCAGCACCGTGATGACACCAACAGTGACCACAATGATCACAAGCAGGTTGCTGTTCTTCTGAGGTGTGACACTGCCATGTGGTGGGTGCATTTGCCCAATGGGTGGCTCTGGAAAATGATAAGCATATGAAGTTCAGGTTTAGGGAGATGTGGTGACCAGTGATGAAACTCTGTAGGGGCAGGGAAGAGCTCTATTGTAATGGAGCATTCTTAGGACTGGAAAGTCTAATGAAAAATGGAGGAAATTGCCTGAGTTATTCATCTGAGTTAATTAACAACATGTATCCATACAAACGCCTTCACAGGAACATTTGAAACAGCATTATTCAAAATAGACAGAGAAACAACCTCAACGTCTAACACTTGGCAAATGTGATACATCTGTGTAAAGAAATATTGCACAGACATAAAAAAGATTGAAGTATCAACACATGTCACAATGTGAATGAGTCATAAAGACAAGGGTCTTAAAGTCATAAAGACAAGAAAGAAGACAAGGGTCATATATTGCATGATTCCACACATGTAAAGTATCCAGAAAAGGTGAATCTATAGAAACGGAAGAATGTAGACTGGTGACTTCTAGTGGATAGAAAGATGTGAATGGGGAACAAGTGTTAATGGGTATAGGATCTCCCTGAGAAAGCTGAGCATTTTCTGCAATTAGACAGTAACGATTATAGCAAAACCTGTGATGGCCTGAGAAACAACTGATCTGAACACTTTCAAAGGTAAGTTTATGATATCTGAGTCTAGAAAAGTATGTTATTTTACTGGGTAGAGGGAGATGAGATAAAGAGATTCCTCTTAGTACTATAAGAATTCCAAAGTGCTAGGAAACAGAGAGCCTGTGGTTTATGAGAGAATATTGCTAAATGGAGCTATGAATGACACACTTTTTGACACTTTTTTTTTCCACTCAGAATTTACTTCTATTCCTCTTAAGATACCATCTAAAAGATGCCATGTTTAATTTCTAACATTCTAATAGTACATGACTCCCATTTAAAAGCACACTTCTGGGATCAAAAATGCATCATAATTTTTAATAGAAGTGTGCTTGTGCTGTATCTTATGGTAGAAAATAGGAAGAAACAAATAGACTAACAAGATATTTTTCATCAGTTGCTAACCTAAACCTGAATGGCTAGTGACTCTTTACATCTGGTTTTTAGCCTTCAATGATGAAGTAATTAAAAATTCTCTGTTCTTGTTTGTCATTAAATGTCATGTATTTGTAAAAAGTTAATATTAGTCAATAATTTTATTCATGGATTAATTTCGAGTATACCAGAAAACAGATTATGAATGGTTGCATAGACTTAGTTTGAATTTTATTTCATAACCTTCATTAGTTTTCTGTATTCTCTGAACAAAAATAATAGGTCTCAGGAATCTCAGTGCTTTCATCTGAAAAATGAAAATAATAGTAAATTCTGTGTATACTTACTGTCAGAATTAGAGAAAATACATGCCCGAGTAAGTACACAACACACAGTACAGCATCATATAAAACCTTCCTATATTAACTAAGTATACATAATATTAACTCTACACAAAGTGTCTCCTGTGAACTTCCAAACTACTAATGCATCAAGAATCATACAATATTAAAGATAAACTAAACTTTTCTTACAAAAAAGACATACTAACCCAGCACTTGAAAAATTGAAATGATGTCTTTGACAAGTTATCTAAAAACCATCACATCTTTGAAGTTTAAATAAATGAGACCTAAATAAGTTATTACTAGCTCATTATCATTGGAAAAAAAACAATAAGCCCACCTTACCTCTAATATAATTTACTAATATAATCACTCAACTTATTGATAGCTCACACATTTCCCAATACTCTGAAGTGAAGTAATAGAAACAAAGTTATAGGGGACACTGAATTAGTGATCTTGAATCTCAGAGAGGGGGATTTATTTTGATAAGTATTTAAATACTTACCTAAAGTATTTAAATATCACTTTCTGTTAAAACAATTCTGATTATAAATGACAGAAATAAGATTTCCTTGGAGTAATTTTTACATTTACTACAAAGGAGTGGGGAAAGGTCAGAACTTTCTGTATCACAGATTTCCTTGTTATCAATAAGTTATTTTAGAATAACATTTCGATATGCCCTTTCTGGACTTAATAAAATAATTGATTGGGATAAACTTTTCATGTGAGAGCTTAGAAGGGAGACAACTCGGACTAAACTAAACTGATCAATGGACTTAGTTTTAGTCCTACGTAAGAGTGTACTTCATGAAGAATTTTTAAAACCTAGTAAGTCAGAATTATTCAAATGTCTTTTCACACTAGAAAATGTCATATTTCAAGTCAGGAAATAATGACTGAATCCTGCTGAGCACTAGTGAGAATATACAGAGGTCATTTTCTTTGAAGAGTTAAGATGCATTAGGACTCATTAGTAAGCTTTGATTCCAGGCCTTTATTATTCCTCATAAAAGTTCCCATTAGTTTAAAATTTGGTATACAAGGTCCTTCATTAATGGTCTACTCTCAAGTGAAACACAATGTTCAGAATAGTTGACATTGGATGGGAAGTTAAGAAAGCTCTAAGAGTAATGGTGACTTAGTCATTATTTGAAGTGGTTGTGTTCTGCAAAGTTATAGGGGACACTGAATTAGTGACACTCAACTGTTGCTTCTAAAGAAAAAGCCAGGTTAGGTTCTGTAAGCCTCTGGTTATATATATATATATATATATATATATATATAATATTTTATCAGTCAAACAATGTACAGAACCTTGTATTATGTGTATTTTAGTTACAGACAGTTTTTTAAAATATATAACGTTGATTCATTAACAATGAATTTGCAGCCAACAGCACTATGGTATAAACTCATGTCTGAACAAAACACATATAAGCTTGCTTATGCTTACACACAATAGAAACCACTTCACCATAATTTAAGGAGTCATTTTGAACATTAAAATCACCAACATTAAACAACACACACACACACACACACACACACACACACACACACACACACACAAACGCGCGCATTAAATATTCCACAAAAAGAACATTCACTCAATCTAAGGCTCAAGCAAGCAGGTAAATATCTACCTGCTCCATCTCAGTTGGACACACCAGCTAGGGATAGAGGGGGTGTAAATCAGTTTCTTTTGTCACTTTGCACTTGTCCATGAATGGCCATGAAAGCACCATCAGTACCAATTTTCAGGTAGAAAAAAGCTTTAGCACAGAGGTGAGTTCACAAATATAGAACCTGCAGACAGTGAGGGCTGACAGAGTTTGTATCTCAGTTTTTCAAAGCACTGACCCAAATAAGAAGAAACCTCAGAGTCTATGAACCAACTTAAATCAGTGCACTTAGGACAACTTGAGTCCAATGAACATTTGCCATTTTCCAGGCTTTGATGGGGAAGTTGTGTGGGGAAATGCCGTGACTTGAAGGCACCCTCCGCAGAGATGTGCTTACTCTGTGAGAGGATGGGGCAAGGTCTTGACTGCAAGGCCCAGCACAGAGTTGGCCTCAAGAGACTTCATGACTCGGCTTCATGTAATGTGGCTCATTCACTTAACCTGTGAGATTTTCCAAATAGACGGAAAAAATACATACAGCAATATCTCAATGAAGTACTTGTTCTCAGTGTCCATGATGATGTGAGTACCCATTGTCTGGAGGACATGAAGGCTTACAGGTCCTCTATGGCAATCAAGAGAAGGGAGGCCAATTTTTCACAGTCTTATGGTTATTTCATTCATTCATTTTCTTTTTTTATTTTCATGATGTTCAGTCATAGTAAAACACTATTTTTTACTAAACGATACAAGTAAATAAATAATAATGTGATTGTTTTAAATTTGAAGTAAAGATTGGAAAATTGGATTAGTGAAATAAAATCTTTAAGTCTTCTAAACTATTATAGGCTTTCAAAATAATTATGATGATTTTCCTTGTTAAAAACTGTATAAAGCTTACTTGGAGGGTACTTAATCATACAGAAACAAAGCAGATAATGATTGTGGTTCCTATCTTGAGCATTTGGCCACTTGGCCACAGTGACTGTACCCTAATAGTTGCATAAGATCACTGGTCAGGTAAACAATGTGAATGTGTTGAAAGACAAATTCAGTTGTAAAGAAAGGAATAAATCCAATGAAATGAACTTACTTTATTTTTCTCTTTGTTGTGATTTCTTTTGTGGTACTGGACTTTTCTCAGTGGCCTACATCATCAGCCCCTTTTTATTTTATTTTATTATTATTTTTTATATTGATACACGGTCTTGCTGAGTAATTAAGTTCCGCTCTGGCTGGAGCTTGCAATCCTCCTGCCTTAGCCTCCCAAGCTATCATCCAATGGAACTTTCTAGTTGGGGACTGAACGTCTTGCTTAAAATTAGTCTTTCTGAACACTTTTGTTATTATTAAAATACTTCAGGTTTTTTGAGACAGAATCTTGCTATGTAGTTCAGGCTGGCCTGAACTCCCTGTGTAGCCCACACTGGCCTTGAATTTGCAGTAATCTTGCCTCAGCCTCCTGAGTTCTGGGATTACAGGCATGCACCACCATGCCCAGCCTATCAAAACACTTTGAGCTCATATATGTCTTAATAATTTTATAGTTCTTTGAATTTGTACATAAAGGCATGTGACCTTGATTACTTCAAAGAATTTCCTCCTAAAATTGATTACTACAGGCCATCAAATGGAAAAACTACAGACAGTCAGGCCCAACTTTCCCTAAAATTAAATATTTATCAGGGCACAGGGGCATTTTTTTCTGTAGTAAATTACATTGGGAAAAATGTTTCTCATCTCAAGGATGGTAGAGAATATGTTCAATCATTCCATAAATATGCTCTGAAGGTTCAGTCAGACGCTGAAGATAAAACGTTTTGATCAAGAAAAGCATGAATATTGACATTGTGGATATTAAAATCTACCAGAAAATATCAATATTAAACAAATCCAAGTTGTAATTATAAAATTACAATGATAAGTGAGGTGTTAAAAAAGCAGAAGGGTTTACAGGCAGATATAACATGAGGACACAGTTGTTTTTAGGGTCACCAGCAGATTTGTTATGGAGGTAACCAGCTGAAGTAACC